ATTGTTGTGATGGTGTATTGTTGTGATGATGTATTGTTGTGATGATGTATTGTTGTGATGATGTATTGTTGTGATGATGTATTGTTGTGATGGTGTATTGTTGTGATGATGAATTGTTGTGATGATGTATTGTTGTGGTGATGTATTGTTGTGGTGATGTATTGTTGTGATGATGTATTGTTGTGATGATGTGTTGTTGTGATGATGTATTGTTGTGATGATGTATTGTTGTGATGATGTATTGTTGTGATGATGTATTGTTGTGATGATGTATTGTTGTGATGATGTATTGTGGTGATGATGTATTGTTGTGATTAGGTATTGTTGTGATGATGTATTGTTGTGGTGATGTATTGTTGTGATTGTGTATTGTTGTGAATGTGTATTGTTGTGGTGGTGTATTGTTGTGATTGTGTATTGTTGTGATGGTGTATTGTTGTGGTGATGTATTGTTGTGATGATGTATTGTTGTGATGATTTTAATTTGTGATAATGTATTGTTGTGATGATGTATTGTTGTGATTGTGTATTGTTGTGATTGTGTAATGTTGTGATTGTGTGCTGCTGTGGTGATGTATTGTTGTGATGATGTATTGTTGTGATTGTGTATTGTTGTCGTGACGTATTGTTGTGATTGTGCATTGTTGTGGTGATGTATTGTTGTGACGAAGTATTGTTGTGGTGATGTATGGTTGTGATTGTGTAATGTTGTGGTGATGTATTGTTGTGATGATGTATTGTTGTGATGAGGTATTGTTGTGATGATGTATTGTTGTGGTGATGTATTGTTGTGACGATGTATTGTTGTGGTGATGTATGGTTGTGATTGTGTAATCTTGTGGTGATGTATTGTTGTGATGAGGTATTGTTGTGATGATGTATCGTTGTGGTGATGTATTGTTGTGATTATGTATCGTTGTGATGAAGTAGCGTTGTGATGATGTATTGTTGTGGTGATGTATTGTTGTGATTGTGTAATGTTTTATGATGTATAGTTGCGGTGATGTATTGTTGTGATTGTGTATTGTTGTGAGGATGTATTGTTGTGGTGATGTGTGGTTGTGATTGTGTAATGTTGTGATGATGTATTGTTGTGATAATGTATTGTTGTGATGATGTATTGTTGTGATGATGTATTTTTGTGATGATGTATTGTTGTGATAATGTATTGTTGTGATGATGTATTGGATTGTGTTGTGATGTATGGTGTTGTGATGAAGTATTGTTGTGATGATGTCTTGTTGTGGTGATGTATTGTTGTTGTGATGTATTGTGGTGGTGATTCGGTGGTGATGTATTGTTGTTGTGATGTATTGCTGTGATGGTGTATTGTTGTGATGATGTATTGTTGTGATGATGTATTGTTGCGGTGATGTATGGTTGTGATGATGTATTGGTGTGATGATTATTTGTTGTTGTGATTTTGTATTGTTGTGATGATGCATTATTGTTGTGATTAAATGTATTGTTGTGATTGTGTATTTCTGTGGCCATGCATTGTTGTGATGATGTTTTGTTGCGGTGATGTATGGTTGTGATGAGGTATCGTTGCGATTATGTATTGTTGTGGGGATGTGTTGTGATTGTGTATTGTTGTGATGATGTATTGGTTGTGGTGATGTAGTGTTGTGATGAAGTATTGTTGTGATGATGTATTGTTGTGGTGATGTATTGTGGTTGTGATGTATTGTTGTTGTGATGTATTGTGGTGGTGATGTAGTGTTGTGATGATGTATTGCTGTGATGGTGTATTGTCGTGATGATGTATTGTTGTGATGATGTATTGTTGCGGTGATGTATGGTTGTGATGATGTATTGGTGTGATGATTATTTGTTGTTGTGATTTTGTATTGTTGTGATGATGCATTATTGTTGTGATTAAATGTATTGTTGTGATTGTGTATTTCTTGTTGTGATGATGTTTTGTTGCGGTGATGTATGGTTGTGATGATGTGTTGTTGTGATGATGTATTGTTGCGATGATGTATTGTTGCGATGATGTATTGTTGTGATGATGTATTGTTGTGATGATGTGTTGTTGTGATTGTGTTTTGTTGTGATGAGGTATCGATGTGACTATGTATTATTATTGTGGTTATGTCTTGTCGTGATGATGCATTGTGGTGATGTTGTATTGTTGTGATGATGTATTGTTGTGGTGATGTATTGTTGTGATTATGTATTGTTGTGATGATGTATTGCAATATCACTATCCGCATCTGCGCCTTCTCCTTTCAGGGAACCACTCACATTTTCGAATACCCGCCAACGGCATCATTTGGACATATACAAAGCTTCTTTCCATAAAGGTTCGGCTTTTCGATGCTTTCAAATTGAAACCAGCTCATCCGATACTTCAGGAACACTAAAACTAAAACTTCTGGATTTACTACTGAAACTTCTAAAGCCCTCAATTTGTGCATCGCATCCTTCCACCGTTGGCCCCTTTTTTGGCACAATTTGTTCCTGGGACTGCGCTTGGCAGTCAGCTATGTGTTGAGTGCGGCAACATCACGTTGCCACCTCAAGGCGCGTGCAAATGCTTGACGCAAACAACCTCCAGGGCTCACTTTTGCGAAAAGGCTGCCAAAATTGTCAGAATCCGAAGCTTCTAGGCCAGAGTCTGATTCAAGAACAATGACATAGAAAGCCTCAACCCATCTGTGGTTGTGTTTGGGGTCTTGGATGTTCAAGCAACAAAGGCGCCGTAGCACATACCACAAACCACATCTCAACTACACCGTTGGCTCAAGACTCTGCCAGAACTGCACAGCCATCAGCCGCAACATTCGGATTGAAGTGGGCTTGCATGGCAGGGACATGTGGGTGTATAGGGTGTAACCCTAAGCCTTGTCTATAGGCGCAGCTACTTGAAAGCAGAAATTGGCACACTATTATTGCAATGAGCCTGAAAGTCTGAAAGACCGAAAGACCCTTCATGTCCAGAAACAAACACGGTCAAACGTTTCGTTCCACAGGGACACTCGGATGGGCAATGCAACAGTTTGACTCACTGCGATACAATCGTTTGTCGACAACTTTGGCGCTATTTGTTTCTGGGACTACGCTCAGCAATCAGCTATGTGTTGAGTGCGGCAACATCACGTTGCCACTTCAAGGCGCGTGCAAGTGCTTGACGCAAACAACCTCCAGGGCTCACTTTTGCGAAAAGGCTGCCAAAATTGTCAGAATCCGAAGCTTCTAGGCCAGAGTCTGATTCAAGAACAATGACATAGAAAGCCTCAACCCATCTGTGGTTGTGTTTGGGGTCTTGGGTGTTCAACCAACAAAGGCGCCGTAGCACATACCACAAACCACATCTCAACTACACCGTTGGCTCAAGACTCTGCCAGAACTACACAGCTGTCAGCCGCAGCATTCGGATTGAAGTGGGCTTGCATGGCAGGGACATGTGGGTGTATAGGGTGTAACCCTAAGCCTTGTCTATAGGCGCAGCTACTTGAAAGCAGAAAATTGGCACACATTGGCACACTGTTATTGCAATGAGCCTGAAGGTCTGAAAAAACCCTTCATGTCCAGAAAGAAACACGGTCAAACGTTTCGTCCGAAAGGGACACCCGGATGGGCAATGCAACAATTTGACTCACTGCAATGCAATCGTTTGTTGAAAACTTTGGCAACGCTATTTGTTTCTGGGAGTACGCTCAGCAATCAGCTATGTGTTGAGTGCGGCAACATCAAGTTGCCACTTCAAGGCGCGTACAAATTCTTGACGCAAACAACCTCCAAGGGCTCACTTTTGCGAAAAGGCTGCCAAAATTGTCAGAATCCGAAGCTTCTAGGCCAGAGTCTGATTCAAGAACAATGACATAGAAAGCCTCAACCCATCTGTGGTTGTGTTTGGGGTCTTTGATGTTCAACCAACAAAGGCGCCGTAGCACATACCACAAACCACATCTCAACTACACCGTTGGCTCAAGACTCTGCCAGAACTACACAGCTGTCAGCCGCAGCATTCGGATTGAAGTGGGCTTGCATGGCAGGGACATGTGGGTGTATAGGGTGTAACCCTAAGCCTTGTCTATAGGCGCAGCTACTTGAAAGCAGAAAATTGGCACACTATTATTGCAATGAGCCTGAAAGTCCCATGTCCAGAAACAAACACGGTCAAACGTTTCGTCCCACAGGGGCACCCGGATGGGCAATGCAACAGTTTGACTCACTACAATGCAATCGTTTGTCGAAAACTTTGCCGCTATTTGTTTCTGGGACTACGCTCAGCAATCAGCTATGTGTGGAGCGCGGCGGCAACATCACGTTGCCACTTCAAGATGTAAAATTTTGTTTGATAGGCTAGTTGTGAAAAAACTTTTTTGACCCTGCATCTCCAGAAGCAAACAGGCTTTCAGTCGGCAATCTTCAAATCATGAAGTGCAACACTTTGACCCAACGCAAGCACTGTTTTCAGACTGTCTGATGCTGTTTGCCTCTGGTACTGCGCTCGGCACTCAATGCAAACAGCTCCTGCTGGATTTTCTCTTAGGTCCACAATGAACCCTGTCATGCGTCACGCAAGGCCTTCTAGATCTTCTTGTCATGCTGTGCAAGGCAGCACGCAAACTGAGGCAACACACGCAAACCGTATGTCCTCAAGAAATCAAAGGCTGTACACAAAAAGGCTTCAAGTTTCAGAAACAAACATATTGCACACGACTTGGACGTCTAGCTGCATGTCAAACCTTTAAATTATCACGCTTAGGTGCAGTCGTGATCATCAACCTGTCAACCTGCTATGCCATCGTTACTCCAATGGAATGTTTCTGAGATTAAGCCTGATTCAAAGCAGCCGTTTTTCAGCTGCTCCGACATGTTCAATCTATCATTTGCATCGCATGGGTGTGCGTTGCGGCATGCTATTGCGTCTGCCGCAACGCAAACTAATTTGAGTAACTAATTGGCGGACTTCACTTTTCCAAAGATCTGCTATCAAACTTGTTCGACCATTTTGCATGATACTGGGCATTTTGTATGATGTTTTTTCTACTCTTTGGAAAATCCATGCGGTCCAGGGTCGAATTCCGAATTGGCAAGGCTCGGCACTTGGCACGTTTCCCTTGCTTTGGTCTTCACGGGGTAAAGAAGCGTCTTGCAGACTTCACTGGCTTAGTGATACGTGAAAGGTTACCATACGGACAGTCCACAACTGCACCTGTCAGGGTTGCACTTCAACATGTTTGATTCCTAGACTTCCACCACCGTGAATAAATGAAGGCACGGTTTTTGCTGGTTGAATTTCCAATCAAAACACTGATTCTGACATTGAACCCCACTGAATTAAAAGATATCAGAAATTATTGGACGGAACCTAGGGTACAAAGTCTCATTCCCTGGATGTCCCGGCCGCTGACATGGATGTCAATGGTTTGAACATGTTTGAACAGCCTTATGGTCAGTATACTGTGGTCCATCCCATGGTCAATCCACCAGCCTGCGATGCCCCGAGCGATGACGTCCATTGATACACCAAGACGCTTGGTGTTCTGACCACACCTCAGTGCCAAATGCCCTGAAAACCAGCAGGTTTAACAAACCTAAGCAACTGATGCTGGGTTCAGATAGAGATTTGTTGGGAGGGGATTACTTTGCCTGTTTACCATGCAATGGGTTCTTGGCCTTTGGGCCGTACAACGTGCATGCGGGAAGCATGCGGGAAGCGTACGGCTCCTGAGAAGGGACCCCGTTAGCAGCAAGTTCCTTTCAGGTATGTGGGAACCAGCATTTTGACAACCGTCCATTTATGATCAGGAAGGTACAACGAATGATATCTGCTTGTTGTCATGACACCAAGTTGCTCAGTATGTGGTTGATTTCTGAAACATGAAGGAACATGTCCTTCCACCCTAGAAGCAGTAGTAAAGATGTGCCGATCAAAAAATACATATTGAAATCAAAACGTCCAAACGCAAAACATAATATTATATAATATCTAACAATCCCAGTTGCAAAAAGAGTAAGACAGAATTCTGTCACCCTAGCAGTAAACATGAAAACATGCGTGAAACCCAAAATGCAAGTCATACGACTACTGTCGAATGTCCCTCCCTGCGAACAGAGTGCCAGAGTAGAAAACATTTTCCAAATGTTTTCCAAACTAAATAGTCATGAAAATTTGTTAATGCCAAAATTATCAAATGCTCACTCAAAATGCACGAATCGTAGTAGGAACATCGCAACCAATCTCCCACGCAGGAACACTCAGATCAGGCGCTGATAGAAATCTCTGGGGTCAGCCCAGCCGAGAATGAAGTCGTCTATCCTTCTCTCCTGGTGCGATTCTTGGATCACCACTCGACCAAGTAGTTCCCATATGTTGCTGGCTGGCTCTCACACACAAAGAGGATGGACATCGATTGGATGAGTAAGAATCAATTATTTAAAAAAAAATATCCCGGCAAGAGACCCCAAACAGCGCCCACAACAACTTCGCACGCACTGCCTGAGTGGGTGAGTGAGTGAGAGCGCGAATGCGTGCGTGCGTGCGTGACTGACTGACTGAGTACGTGCGTGCCTGGGTGAAGCAGTGATGGTAAACATTTTTAGTGAATAAGAGTGAGTGTGAGTGAACATGAGTGAGAAGTAAGAATGAAGTTTGAATGAGTATGAGTGAGCTTGAATGGGTATGAGTGAGTTTGAACGGGAATGAATGAAGATGAAGTTGAATGAATATGAATGAGGAAGAATGAGTAAAATGAGTATGAGCGGGTGGATGACTCTCAACATCCCTGACATTGGAGCATGTAACACGCACGATCCCCGAAAAGGGTTGCACGGGCACCTGCAAAATCATTTGACACGCACAATCCCTTCGCAAGAGCCAACGCCCACCGCCCCCACCAATAGACTCCGGGCCAACCACCGTAGTAACCGGAAGTGTGACCACACTGTTTGGGGAATTGGGCATGATACTAGAACAACATGTCTACTAGCCAGCACAAACCCCTACCATTCCCATGAAACTCATCACTACAGTATGCAAACAAACCAAGCAATGCATAATGGTTGGGGACGTGACCTAAACGATGATCCATGAAAATGCGTTGCAAAAAGGCGGTGGGTTTGCATCCGAACGAAGCACGTTCATCCCTGTCCTCAGGATCGAGTGGAAACGCGCTTGGAGGACAGTCCCTGCTTGCTCTGGCCGCATTCTCAATGAAAAAGCCCAGGCCTGCAATGGCCGCCTTGGTTTTTCGCTCAAAGTTATTGGAGCAAGGAAACTTCGGAAACACATTTTCCAAAGGCATAAACATATAAAGTACACGAATACTCCGTACCCTCCAAAGGATGGTTCGAAGGGATCCGTAAAGCCTCTCTCTCTATATATATATATACATTGGTAGGGGTCAAGTAATAAATGTGCACTTTTAAAAACCCAGTCAGAATCCAGGCTTCGCAGCCGCTGTCGAGAATCTAAAAAAGGGACCAAGGGATCACTGCCCGGGTGATTTGGGTTGTTTGCTAGCATGGTGAGAAATTGAATGATGTGAAATGAATTCCGTCAACTGTGAGGAATCGTGTCACATGTTTAGAAAGATGCCCTCAAAAAAACACGCATACACTCCAAAACCATCTTGCGCTATCTTGGTATGCCGTATGCTGTTGCAAGACAAGCCTAGCTACTGGCACCGTGGTCTGGCAGGTGCTTTCTGCTGTCTTGGAGAATTTGCATTGGCCTTCTGCCTCAGTTGCAGCCAGGGCAGCAGAGCCCAAGAGCTTCACCGTTGAACCCCCGAACCTGGCACATTGCTTCTGATCATCCTTGTCATCTCGTTTGTTCTCAATGATATCCTTGGGTTCGCATTCGCACTCGATTTCGTCGGTGTCAGGATTCTTTTGGCAGCAAGGGGTCGCTCCGTGGCAAAAGACTCGCAAGAAAACTCCAGTTTCTCCCACCCCAGAGAGGGCAGCAGCACTGCGAAGGATGCTTCTACCACAGAGGGTGTCTGTGCCGCCGCAATGGCCTGCGGCCCTGACTGCCTTTGAACCTGCCAAGAAAGTGGTCCGAAAAATGGCGGTCGAATCTCTCGCGCAAGTGAGTTGGAGCGTCTCGGTCAGAGGCCTCTCCTCATCAAATTCTGGATTTGGACAATCGAAGCCCAAGGCAGATTCCAAGAGAAGAGCGGCCGAAAACATGTAACCAGTGGCTGATAAGGACTCGCCGACACAGGCTCCTAAGTCCAACAGGGGACTGCTCAAGTCATTGTCATGGCAAATGCGACGGGCCTTCGCAACTTGTGAAGCGAAGCCGTCCAAAGCCCAGGAAAGACCTTCAAGCCGCTCGCTGCACCTGAGGCGCTTCCAAAACCTGCCCTAAGCATTCCTAAGCCATGAGTCCTGGCACTACCTACCTCAAATATGTTACATGATCCAAGCACCTGATTTAGAATGTCTTAATATGCTTTGAACAAGGCAATGAAACATTGGCCCATCAGTATTGACATGAAAATGAATGGAAGTTTTGCCCTCGTTATCCCTTGCTCGTTTTGGGAATTCAAGGTGGCCCCCGGACTAGGGCTAGCATTTCTTCCCACCTGAAGTCCCCGCGGAAGTCTTCATTCACGGTTTGCACGCATCGAGGCTGTAACTCCGCCCCATACCGGCCAATGCTGACAGCTTGTCGGAAGGCATAGCTGACCGCCTTGTAGCACTGCGGGCTGGTGGCCGTTTCATCACAAAGTGGAACTGCATCCATCAACCGGTCCTCGATAGTTGTGATCTCCTTGAGAATCTGCAGAACCACCCTGGCGCAGAAAGCTCCCAAGAATTCCGTCTTAAAGATGGGATCTTCGAAAGGAAACAAACGACGCAGCACTTCTACCCTCGTCATGTTCATTGGAGGCGTGAAGTTGTGATCGTCGTCGATGAGGCCCTCTGCTTTCCACGTATCCATGAGAATCTCCGCATCATACCTGGTGGTGACATTTCCACTTTTCCTCATCCTCCGCCCTGAAACTGCATCCATGAAATGGCTCTTGAGGAGAAATCGTGTCTTCAACAGCTGGTCAAGATTGGGATCAATGTCAAACTGTTTAGACTTGTTGTAGAGAGCATCACTTGTAAGGCGCATGTTGCTCACCATGCCCTTGAGCTTGCGATGTGGGTCTCCATCCACCGAGCCACCCAACGTGATGCGACTTTGGGGAAGCACTTCATCCGTTAGCTCTGCCGGAACAGCTGCCCTGCCACCAAGTTTTCCGTCCATGAAGAATTCCAAATCTTTGCCACTTCGTTGCACGGCCAAGTGAACCCATGTGGACAAGGGCGCTGCCACGTCAGAAACAATCACAGAAGAGGTTTTCCCAAGCGAGTGCGGCGCGAAGACATCCTGGGTTTCAGGCTATCCACATAGAAAGCATCGGATGGGCGAATGCGTGCATGGCATGCCTTACACATTATTTGTTCAAATGTCCCGGCAAAACTAAAGGTAAAGGTTTCAAAAATGCACTGGTTGGGACAACCGCGTTGCCCAACAAACACTATATATATACATACGTATCTGTATATGCATGTATCTGTATAGGTATGTGTATATGTATACGTATATGTATGTAAATGTATATGTATATATGTATATGTATATGTATATGTATATGTATATGTGTATGTATATATGTATATGTATATGCATATGTACATGTATATGTATATGTATATGTATGTAAAAATACATATATACATATACACTGACACTGTGGATGTGATATGTGTATGTATATATATATATCTCTCTCTCTCTATCGATCTGTGTCTGCGGAAGTATGTGTATATAAATATGCATTTTTGAATACATATAAGTACTTTTGATATGTATATAAATATGAATAAAAATGCATACCAGTAGTACCGCACAATGCAGTGGCGGAAGTTTCAAAAATAGGAAGCCTTTCGGAGAGATTGGTTGTTGTGAATCACGGATGGCAGAGCGAATCCACTGATGGACCGCGAGGTGGTTGGAGATGTTGGAGCTGTGTTTTTTGGAGTG